ATCGTCCAAAAAATTTGCTGACGATCGAAGAAGAATATCGATTCGATTTTGATGAAGCGCTTTTGCCAGAAGACAGTTTTGAAGGTAATCTGGGAGACGATGAATTCGAAGTGGAAAAGATTGTGGATGTACGATCTGATAGAAAGACACGTTTTGGACGAGTACATAGACAGTTTAAAGTCTACTGGAAAGGTCATGCTAAACCATCCTGGGTGGATGAAGCCGACTTAAATTGTGGTGCCTTATTGCGAGATTTTGAACGTGGCAAGATTAGCCGGAATCGTTTTGAAGTGATGCAATCACATGAAGAGGGATCTGGTGGCTAACGAAGATCGAGTGTTGGGGATGGTATAATATGCAAGAAGGTTGCATAGGATGGTGGAAAGGAAATTTGTGTGTAATGAGTATGGCGATCGAAGGTCTGGAAGACGGGATCGCGGCTAAAGAAGCCCAACAAAAGAAGACAATTTTAACGACTAAAAGGATGAAATGAAAACAGTGAAATTGTATTGAATGCTGAAGAAATGAAATCGGATCGCGTCGAAGTACCAGATCGCGCCGTAGTACCAGATCGCGCCAAAGTATTAGACTGTGCCGAGGTACCAATTCGCGCCGGAATTTCAGATCGCGTCGAAGTCCCAGATCGCGCCGGAGTACCAGATTGCGTCGAATTAACAGATCGCGGTGGAGTACCAGATCGCGCCAAAGTATTAGACTGTGCCGAGTACCGGATCGCGCCGGAATTTCAGATCGCGTCGAAGTCCCAGATCGCGCTGGAATGCCAGATCCCTCCGAGGTCGCAGATTGAGCAGAAGTACCGGAAGCGCTGCGGGGACGTTTACAGGGGACGTTTACAGGGGACGTCCAGAGTCGGTGAAGATGACGCACGTTTGCGATTGGGTGACGAGGGATTGGAAAGCGCGAGAAGGCTAGTCGGAGAAGGAAGTAAGCCCGTAGCCAATTCTGCCAGATGCGAACGAAGTAAATCTCGATCCTGGATGGCCAGATCGCGCTCTGCCTTTCGATCTGCAACTTCGGTACGAAGTCGATCCAAAGCTGCGTCGTTCCGAATACTCGCTCTCAGGAGGCGATCATGATCAAGCTCAAGCGCGTTCAGTGTCTCTTGCAATTGTTTCGCGGCTTGCTGGGCCTGAGAACGAGCTTTCTTGTACTTGGATGCCCTGCTTTTCATGCGTCAAATTTCAGCGGCCAAAGCACTGTCTGCCGTATTACGCTGTGCGAGGATGGAGTCCAGTTGCTGTTGGAGGGACGCGATCTGCTGCCGGAATTTTCCTTCCAGAGTTCGCTGAAGATTGGCCGCCTCACGGCGGAATTTATCCTGCAGGCGATGTTTCTCTGCATTGGCTCGAAACAAGGCATTCTTCAGATCGGCGATCTCCTGAGACTGATCCTTAGCTGGTTCAGTTCTTGGTCGAGACCTTCGGCCATGTGGAGAGCGGCATCAAGTTGTTGACGCAACTCTTCATCTCGATGCAAGACGAATGTGCACAGTCGAGGCACCAACTCGTGGTACGAGTTGAGTTCCGTCTCTAGCTGATTTCCACGAAATTCCTGCTCCTGCAAGGCATTTTCCATGGAGTGATAGCTTTCCACGATGGTATCCTGGGCTTCCAGGCGGTCATACCATGAAGAAACCAACGAGATCGCGTTTTGACGATCTGCAACGGGAGGAAGGATTATCCGGGTAGACGGGAGCAGGATACGCGATCCGGTAGAGGAATCCATCGTTGGATCGCGCGTAACGAGCACACCAGTTTGGGGGTGGCGATCGTTTTCGGGTGTAGATCTGGCCATAAGGGACGAAGTGACGAGAAGAGTGAAGCGAGACAGTGCACAGTTAGGCCAACACTGTATGTGGGCTATCGGTGCAGGGGACGATTGTGGCGAAGTGAAGGAGTGAATTTCGCCAAGTGTGATCGCATATTTTCGGTTAAGTCCGAAATGGCCAATATTAATGAGTCGCGATCTCGTGGCCAATATTGATGAGTCGCGATCTCGCAGAAAGGTTTCAAGACGATGTCAAATAGGATGGAAAACAGTGAATGGTGTAGTTTGCACTTCTATGTGGGGTCAAATATGGCCTAGAAACTACGCTATTGCGATCTCCAGTATTTCCGATGGCGATCCACGTGAACGCGGTCGCTAAGGAGGAAGATGGGTACATCCAAGCATGTGGAGGACGGTCTGGTGTGGATCACGTCGCTATGGAGGACTGGAATGGTGGATATGACATGTCACATAGATGAACTATCTCACATGACCTGAGAAACGGTGAAGAGGACAAGTCGTGATCCGGCGGATCGCGATCCGATGCTAATTATTAGTATCGCGATCCGATATTAATTATTAGTACCGCGATCCGATATTAATTATTTAGTACCGCGATCAGGTACTAATTATTAGTATCACGATCCGATATTAATTATTTAGTATCGAGATCCGATATTAATTATTAGTACCGCGATCCGATATTAATTATTTAGTACCGCGATCTGGTATTAATTATTTAGTACCGCGATCTGGTACTAATTATTTAGTACCGCGATCTGGTACTAATTATTTAGTACCGCGATCTGGTACTAAAATGATATTATATCCGAGCGAGTTAGCGATCCAGATCGCGGCGATATTGGAGTGGACCACATTACAAGATCTGATTTTTCCGAAAGGGCGATACGTGGCAACAGATCCTGAGCTACAGATAGTCAAGATCATAGGTTTTGGTATTTGATTGGTTAACATTAACAGAGTTCAATTTGCTTCTAAGTACACGTGTCGACTTCTCTTCCGGGCTGGATTCTTTGGCCTCCCGACGTCTCAAGGAAGTCTACCTACTACGCAAGTCATATCCCTGGATTGTTTGGCCAGGGATTGCAAGAATTCTCAACAAAACAAATCAAGCTGCGATTGGACGCAGAGGACTAAGAAGTCCAGATACAAGATCGCGAGACGGCTCAAGTGGTCAGAAGGCAAGCGGATCAAGTATCTACATTTTTGGACAAGGCGATCTCAAGGGAGATCAGGGCGACTCAAATAGAGCACCCCAAGAACAACTGCGATCGTGTGAGGAATTCCACGCGATCGCCCCCCACCTATCCCTAACACAATCAAGTTCAACATCGACCCAAGTCTACCGAGAAGAGAGCAACCCGCCCTACCGACGGGTACACAAGGTGAGGAAGGCTATAAACACGGAATCGGGGTACCCCCTCCTTTAGTCGGTCGTCCGGGCGCCAGTGGAGAGTTGGGATCGCATCAGCAATTTTGCGAATCCCACTCCACCACACAGCCGTTGCTTTACTGTTTACCTCGGACGCATTTCTGCGCAGTCCGAGCACAAGCGCCTGTAACTGCTCCAACTTGCATAATAGTACATTAAAGTGGTTGACCAGGGCTTGTTTACCAAGTCCCTGTGCCAAATTCTCAGCCAATTCCCTATGATGTTTGGAGAGGTGAGGAAAATCCCCCCAATCCTTACTAAGGGCCATACGCACCCACGCACGATCAGAGAGACGGGTCGTGGGAAGGACTACAAGTGCTACCAAGCGTAGACGGGCACTTCGAAAGAAGCTTCCACGTGCTACTTTGGCACACACCTTCAAGTACGCGTGGAAGCGGCTAAACCGTCTTACCATCGCGTGTGGTGGTGGGGTTTGTCGGCGCGAAGCGCTGTACACAACTGTTGACGGTCGCCGAAGCGAACCCACGCAACGGAATTCTAACAAGTACTTTACTTACGATACGCAGAAGCTTATTCAGCTTCTTGTGCGCAGTGAATGATAGTTAGCAAATTTAAAACTAATTTATATTCAATAGAAATTAACTAAATGCAAATCTAACTACTGATTGGTCAATATGTATTATGATGGGTGCCATCTATGTAGATACGCATCCCAACGCGCGAGCTTAAATATATTTTAGCTCGCTAAATGACGTAGCTGACGTCATTTGATGACGCCTAGTCCCAACTGGGCGTCATCCCCATCAATGTGAATACACCTAGTGTATATCACATACACAAGGGTGTGACACATGGTGTGTCTCACTCAAGCGACAGGTCTTAAGTACTTACGTACCTGCCCGTTACCTATCGCATACTTAACGGTAACTTGTAACGTTGAGCAAAGCCTAATTAGCAACGCTGATTTCTCTTTCGAGTTCAGGTTATAGAGCCAGGTCAATTTCGGGTGACGGCTCTCAAGTTGTAAGGTTATGGCACGTTGACATAGCATCCAACGGGTTACTTTGTATTTTTGTGTCTGTTTCGCCAGCATTCTCGCTTCACGACGGCTTGAAGCTGCTTCCTGCTGTTTTCCCAAATTTATGAACGCTACCGGCGATGATCACGTTCACTTGCTGGAACGTCACTCGATTGCGTTATATGAACAAGCTGGTGCTACAAATGCTGCTGAGGATGTGCCAAAAGGGCGGTGTATGCAGCCACCTCGTCTGGTGAGGTCTAAGTAAGGGGGGGTTCCCTTCCTGGTGTCTTGGGTAAGCACCGGCCTGTGTCGTAAGTGTCGTCAGTGGCGCAGGTTCAAATCCCCCTTCGACCAACCCAAGGTCCAAAAACAATGTGGCACACACTTCTCTCACTGTTACACCCGGGAACCCTGGTACCAGTGAGTACTGCCTCTCGTAGAAGCATGAAACCACAATACAGAATAATTGGGGCTATCCGGACTGGTTGGCACCCAGAAAATCCGGCAGAAAGCCCGTCCGTGGCACGATAACCATAACCGGTCAGGGATGTGTAGGCCCTCACCGAAGAGGACAGTACCAGGTCGTTAGAAATACTAAATGCACCGGCTCTACCTAAGGGAAAAAAGAGGTCTAAGTACGTATGGGATATAAGGGTAATTTGTCTAAAGTTTAGATAAGTGTGCTTTCCTTGAAACCTGGATAAATCTGAGAACATCTAGGCATACGTCGTGTATATTATCCAGTCTTTAATCGAAAACTGAAGCGTTTTTGACGAAATGGCAGCTCAAAGCTCCGTGACGAAGCGTCTTGGGCGGCTATTGCCGCACTCGAGCGCTCTTTTTGTATGTGACGTACAAGAAATATTCCGCAGTCGGATGTTCCAGATGCAAACTGTTATCCATGGCACCAATACTATGGTCCGTACGTTGAAAAGATAAAAATCCGCGCGATTTTTGACATAATATAGAGATTTAATCCAGATAGATTATTGACAATATGTTTTATGTATTATCCAGATCTCTGCAGCCAAGCTTTTGGACATTCCAATGGTCGTAACAACACAATACAGTTCCCGTCTAGGCACTACCGTATCAGCAATTTCAAAAAATCTCAAGGACGTACAAAACATCCAGACTTTTGACGAGATGATGTTCCCAATGTTCGAACCTGAGACGGAACATCATATGACAACTGATATGCCACAGCGTAAATCAGTTCTTCTTTTGTGGTATTGAGACATACGTGTCCGTATTGCAAACGTGACTTTGATTTACTAGAAAAAGGTTATGAAGTTCACATAATCTCTCGGAATTGCTGTCAAGCTCAACGAGTTACAGTTGCACTTTGGCCATAGAGCGTATGTGTCAATATCACATTCGTCGAGTCAAGACCATCTTCCAGTTGGCTCATGTCACTTCGCCCTGGAAACGAACAAATGCTGCCACTCGACTTTCAATCGTCGATTGCAAACAGTTGTTCAACATTTCAATACCATCGACTGTAGAAAGTCAAGGAATCAAAGTCACAGCTGTCGATTCAGACATTGAGCCAAACACAAGAAAGATTTGTCGCAATCGGGCATGTTGGCATCAGAGGTTTGTTTATCCACGTGGGTGCTGAAAAAATCGTGCATGGAAGTTCTGAGCGTCTGCAATTCATGTCATTCATCAACTTCCCCACTACCAACAACACCTCTTCATCTTCATCAACCATGCTGCTCCCTTTCATTGCAGCGGCCGCAGTCGGCACCACCGGGAGCATATTACTGCACCAGCACTCATTCTTCAAGATAACTTTCATGAACGAGTGTTCGACCAACATCGACTTGTACACTCACCTCACCAGCATCTTCAACATCCCCACGAACGAAATTGACAGAATCATCTCGGGTGGTTCGGTCGTCAAGACCATTAGAAGGGGCTACGAAGGTTACTTCCGTAACGGTTCGGACGACGCTGCCACGCTCATTGGGATTTCTACTACTAACGTCTTTCGCGAGGTTTCGTATAACCTTAACATCATCCCGCCGAATCTGGATCCCGGCTTTGAGTCTTGCAAGACCCTTGACGAGTGCAAGCAACACTCCAAGAGCGGCACTGGTTTCAACACTCCCATCCGGATCACACCCATTTCCAACACGAACGGCAAAAACTGCCGTGAACTCACGTGTCTGGCTGACGGCTGCGAGGACGCGTACACTTTCCCAAAGGACGACACCAAGAAACACTCGTGTCGGTTCAACACGAACTACAAAGTGACTTTCTGTCCATCACGTGATTCGACACCACAAGAGACGACAACTGCAGGCTCATCGTTGACCGGTAAGGAGACCACTCTGGTCTCCGAGACGACGACAACACCCGTAACGGTCAATAGTCTAAATATCCCTGCGGAAAACAACGGTGGATATGGTCAATCGGACGGTGTGGTACCTGAGGTGACCAAGAAGGTTGACACCCCTGCACCCATGGCTGACACCAATGCACTTGAAGCTGACACCCCTGTACCCACAGTGAATGGAACTGACATCTCTGCACCCAAAGCTGACATTCCTGCACTTAAAGTTGATACCCCTGTCACCCAACTTGACCAAGCACCGCGTCTCAGTATGTCGATATAAGGGTCATTTGTCTAAGAATTTAGATAAAGTTGCAAGAATCGTCCCCCAGTGACGTTTAATACATAGAGTCGATGGTATTGACGTGTTGATCGAATGTTTTGCTATTGACGATGGTACTGACCCCTTCATTCGAGCACTGCGTCTAAAGTAAGTACTGCGATATAAGGGTAATTTGTCTAAAATTCAAATAAATCTAAATCTGAAAAAATCTAGCATAAGCTGTGTATATTATCCAGTCTCTCTTTGTCAAAATCGAATTGATTCCAATCGAAACTGAAACGATTTTGACGAAATGGCAGCTCAAAGCTCCGTAACGAAACGTCTTGGGCGGCTATTGCCGCACTCGAGTGCTCTTTTTGTATGTGACGTACAAGAAATATTTTGCAGTCGGATGTTCCAGATGCAAACTGTTATCCATGGCACCAATACTATGGTCCGTACGTTGAAAAGATAAAAATCCGCGCGATTTTTGACATAATATAGAGATTTAATCCAGATAGATTATTGACAATATGTTTTATCGATTATCCAGATCTCTGCAGCCAAGCTTTTGGACATTCCAATGGTCGTAACAACACAATACAGTTCCCGTCTAGGCACTACCGTATCTGAAATCTCAAAAAATCTCAAGGACGTACAAAACATCCAGATTTTTGACAAGATGAAGTTTTCCATGCTGATACCCGAAGTCGAAGATCATTTGACATTTGATCTACCACAATGTAAATCAGTTCTTCTTTGTGGTTTGGAGACTCACGTGTGCGTGTTACAAACGTGTCTTGAATACTGGAAAAAGGTTATGATGTCCACGTAATCTCGGATGCCGTCTCGAGCTCTACGAGTTACAATCGTTCCATAGCCTTAGATCGTATGCGACAATCGGGTGCCTATATCACATCCGTCGAGTCTGCTATTTTTCAATTGACTCATGATGCCAGTAATCCCGAATTTAAGAATATCTCGAAACTTATCAAAAAACATCTTCAGGAGGAGAACGGATTTGAGACGGGAGTACGAATCGAAGAGATGAACAAGTGACGACAATGAGAACAAGTTGATGCCACGTTGATGCAAGCTGATCTATCAGCTGAAGACAATACGAAGCATTTGGACTGCACTTTTTGTTTCTTGATTAACTTTTTATTGTTGTTGCTGAAAAAAGTCAAACAAGGTTGTTCGACTGCCATCCGGCATCGACTTTTGCTCGAGGGGTCGAACTTTCTTACAGAAAGCACTGCTGCTTTCAGATTTTGTTGCGGGTTGTGACCTCTTTCTAGACTCGGGGGCACTTTGCGATGCGACTTTCATAAGTGAATTTTTTTGAACGTTTCGAGACTTTGCTGCTTGGACAGATGAAGAATGCTTTGCAATAAGATCCTTCATTGCAGTTACCTTGGACGCCTTGACTTCTGAAACAGTTGACGATAGTATGCTAGCCGAAGCTCCGAGTACATCAGCTTTTGAGTTGTTTTTGCCCCCGTCGAAGTGCTTTGAATCCGTTTCTCGAGTTCTTACTGTCAAAGTCGACTGCTTCACTGCTTCGTTTGTTGCGGCTGTCGCCACTACACTTGCGGTCTTGTAAACGCTCATCAGAGTTTGCAGTGATTCAGCACGTTTGTTAGCCTGCAAGCACTTCTTGATCTCACTCTGCCGAGCTGTCGCAATGGGTGAAAGCTGTTTGACTTCTCTTTGCATAACTATTGCAGAAAATCCTTGACTGATCTTGCGTGCGTGATTGTTAAATTTACTGCGGGTTTCACGAAGTGCGGTCAACGATTGTCCACTCTGCGACCCAGTGAAGCTTTCCTGCTTTTGTGAGCTTGTGGGGCTATCGGAAAGAAGGCAGAGCGTTCGCGCACACACTTCACCCTTGTATATGGCTGCATACGCCGCCCTTTTGGCACATTCTCAGCAGCATTTGTAGTACCAGCTTGTTCTTACAACGCAATCAAGTGACGTTCCAGCAAGTGAACGTGATTATCGCCGGTAGCACTCATACTTTTTGGGAACCCAGTAGGAAGCGAATTTGAGCCGTCGTGAAGCGGGAGTGCCGGTAAAAACAGACACGAAAATATAAGGAACCCGTTGGATGCTATGTCAACGTGCCATAGCCTTACAACCCAAGAGCCGTCAACCGAATTGACGTGCCCCATACAACCTGAACTCGAACCGGCGTTGCTAACCAGGCTTAGGATATACCACACATCCTGCAACCACTAAAGGTTTGATAATTCTTTGATAGATTTCTCTAAATTGGCGTGCATGTCTTGAAAAAGGTCACGACGTTCACGTAATTTGGATGCGGTACCGAGCTCTATGAGTTGTAATCGTTCGACAGCCATAGAGCGTATGCGCCAATCGATTACCTATATCGCATCCGCCAAGTCCGGTCCATCTTCCAGTTGACAGATACAGACTGTCTACTAATCTTGTTCACAAGATTCGAAAAAGTTTAAGCCATTCAAGTACTTTAGGACATGTTACCTATCGACTACGGTGGCTGTAGCGAACAATTGTTCAGCAAGTCAATACCATTTTCTGGATTAGAGTCACACATCTATCGAATTTGTTAAGTGACTGGGTGGCAATTCTCGCAGATTGATCTAAGCTCGAGACAAATGACCCTTATATCACAACACTTAGACGCAGTGCTTGGGCTGAGGGGTCACTTCCAGTGCAGGGGCCTCAGTTCCATTCACTGTGGGTACAGGGGTGTCAGCTTTAAGTGCATTGGTGTCAGCCGTGGGTACAGGGGTGTCAACCTTCTTGGTCACCTCAGGTACCACACCGTCCAATTGACCTTCCGTTCTTCGCAGGAATATTCATACTCTGCACCGTTACGGGTGTCATCGTCTCGAAGACCTGAGTGGTCTCCTTACCGGTCAACGATGAGCCTGCAGTCGTCGTCTCAGATACCTGAGTGGTCTCCTTACCGGTCAACGATAAGCCTGCAGTTGTCGTTTCTTGTGGCGCCGTATCACGTGATGGGCAGAAAGTCACTTTGTAGTTCGTGTTGAACCGACACGAGTGTTTCTTGATGTCGTCCTTTGGGAAAGTGTACGCGTCCTCGCAGCCGTCAGCCAGACACGTGAGTTCACGGCAGTTTTTGCCGTTCGTGTTGGAAATGGGTGTGATCCGGATGGGAGTGTTGAAACCAATGCCGCTCTTGGAGTGTTGCTTGCACTCGTCAAGGGTCTTGCAAGACTCAAAGCCGGGATTCAGATTCGGCGGGATGATGTTAAGGTTATACGAAACCTCGCGAAAGACGTTAGTAGTAGAAATCCCAATGAGCGTGGCAGCGTCGTCCGAACCGTTACGGAAGTAACCTTCGTAGCCCCTTCTAATGGTTTTGACGACCGAACCACCCGAGATGATTCTGTCAATTTCGTTCGTGGGGATGTTGAAGATGTTGGTGAGGTGAGTGTACAAGTCGATGTTGGTCGAACACTCGTTCATGAAAGTTATCTTGAAGAATGAGTGCTGGTGCAGTAATATGCTCCCGGTGGTGCCGACTGCGGCCGCTGCAATGAAAGGGAGCAGCATGGTTGATGAAGATGAAGAGGTGTTGTTGGTAGTGGGGAAGTTGATGAATGACATTGAGTTGCAGACTCTCAAAACTTCCATGCCTGATTTTTTCAGCACCACGTAGATATACACAAGCCTCTCTGATGACAACATGCCCGATTGCAACAAGTCTTTCTTGTTTTGGTTCAATGTCTGGATCGACAGCTGTGACTTTGATTCCTTGACTTTCTACAGTCGATGGTATTGAAATGGGTTGAACAACTGTTTGCAATCGACGATTGAAAGTCGAGTGGCAGCATTTGTTCGTTTCCAGGGCGAAGTGACATGAGCCAACTGGAAGATGGTCTTGACTCGACGAATGTGATATTGACACATACGCTCTATGGCCAAAGTGCAACTGTAACTCGTTGAGCTTGACAGCAATTCCGAGAGATTATGTGAACTTCCTAACCTTTTTTTCTAGTAGATCAAGACACGTTTGCAATACGGACACGTATGTCTCAATACCACAAAAGAAGAACTGAATTACGCTGTGGCATATCAGTTGTCATATGATGTTCCGTCTTAGGTTCGAACACTGGGAACTTCATTTTGTCAAAAATCTGGATGTTTTGCACGTCCTTAAGATTTTTTGAAATTTCTGATACGATAGTACCTAGACGGGAATTGTATTGTGTTGTTACGAGCATTGGAATGTTCAAAAGCTTGGCTGCAGAGACCTAGATAATGGATAATATTGTCGACTTAATCTATCTGGATTAAAGCTATATAAGATGTCAAAAATCGCTATCGGTATCGGTCCCATAACTGATACAGTAGTACTATGTACAACATACACTGATGATTGAATTTTTCCATATCCATATACAGACGATGGCATACTACGATTACTATAGTAGTAATTAATCTAGTGTAGGGTACTTAGAGTAATGCAAAAATAAAGTTAGTTCTCATTTTGAGTTATGGATCCCAAGTCTCTCTAAGACGTGTTCTCTTGTGCACTTCGTGTATTTTTCCCTTGAACCGTAAGCATGCTATAACTCTTGCGACCTGTGCGTTGGTTCTATGAACCTTAAGCTATTGTTTGTAGACTAGAAGTCCCTCCTTGTTCCTTAGAACAAAATGACTTCTTAGTCGTTTATTTAGTTCCTTAAAACTAAGTGGCCCAAAGCCGTCAACTTCTAAATAGTTCTATAAAACTAAGAAGGTTTATTTAAAAAAAAGTCTTCCTCTGACTTAAAAGCTGTGTAGCTCCGCTACAGCGCACGATAATCTGAATAAACTTTTGCGCGTCGTAAGTTAAATACTTGTTAGAACTTCGTTGTGCGGTTCGCTTCGACGACCGCCAACAGTTGTGTACAGCGCTTCAGCGCCTACCAACACCCACCACCACCGCACGTGGAGGTAACGGTCTAAACGCTTGTTCACGCTGCTCGAAGGTGTGTGCTCGTAGCACGTGGCAGCTTCTTTCGAAGTGCCCGTCCACACTTGGTAGCACTAGTAGTCCTTCCCACGACCCGTCTCTCTGAGCGTGCGTGTGGATACGGATGTCCCTCAATATAGATTGGGTAGACTTTCCACCTCATAGGGAGTTGTATGAGCATTTGGCGCAGGGACGTAGTAAACAAGCCCTGGACAACCTCTTGCATTGTCCTCCTGAGCAACATGTTGTTCAGTTGGAGCAATTCGAGGCGTTTGTGCTCGGACAGCGTAGAAACGCGTACGAGGCATATAGCCATGCTGGATCTGATTCCATCAATAAGACTCAGAATGAGATTTTTCGTGATCAGGCTCAGAACGAGACGCTCAAAAGAGCTGTTGAGACGCTCTCTTCCCGGCCTAATCAGCCAAGGCCCATACGGATGACCCCTCCTAAGTTTAATGGGACTGCCCCACATACGATTTTCCACTAGATTTTAGCAGTGGAGCAATGCGGTATGACGCAGATCATCGAAGACAATACCACAATGGTGTTGTATGCCATGTAAAATTTGCGTGGCAACGCGTCAGAGTGGGATTACTCTGCGCTTATAGCAAACGCCGATGCGTTTCCATCATGGCGATCTTTAAGTCAAAGATTCGTGCCATGTACCAGACGCCTAAAAATAAAGTGTTACGTCAGGCGCGCTTCTTTGGAGCACGACAGGCGAAACGATATCTGCAATAGTATGTGAAGGAAAGCGTTCGCTGTCGGCGTCCATTAATGTGGATCCGATACCGGGGCACATTAAGGTGCCTACGTTCATAAACGGACTACGGCACGTCCCATCGCGTCAGGCCCTTTTCAGAAAGGTGCCAAAGATGATGAAAGAGGCAATTATAATTTCCATGGTTGAGAAGCAATCCTATAACAGTGCCTCGGCGACAGCTTATTCTAAGCCGTCGGTCGAAAAGTCGGATGCCACTCCAATGGAGTTAGGCAATGCAGACGTGTTCTGCTACAAGCGCGGCCATATGATGGCTTTCTGCTATGCCAAACTTGCTGCTGGTGCAAAGGCAGCCAGCAAAAAGGCTCTCTACCCAAAGGAAGGTGCGAAAAACCAGCGTTCACGACGCACGGGTTCAGCACCTGCCCAAGATGGGTCGGGAAATGTGGGAGGGCAGTAGGGGCGGGATGCCCTACTGTCGCGGACTCTGACGCTACTTCTATGTTCAGAGTGATCGAACAAATGGGTAGCATAGTCCCTGAGGTACCGAAAGGTCGGACCGCAACCCTTTTGGTCTATAGCGCTCGAGTACGAAGCTATGATTAAGTGATGACCCTTCTCGTGGATTCGGGTGCATTACAAAACTTTGTGAAACTCGCGGCTCTGAAAAAGAGTCCGGCGAGTTATGAGTCGCTTTGACAGGATGGCAAGCGAGAAGAGGCGACCGTTCGTTTAGCTAACGGCGCGCTCGATAAATTAGAGGGAATTCAAGTTGAGCTCGCCTTCATCTTTAGCGACTTCTCTTGTAAAGAGAAGTTCACAGTGCTAGGTATGGAGAGTCCGTATGACCTCATCCTAGGCATGCCTTGGTAGGATAAACACCAACCATGGATAGACTGGCGTACACGCACAATCGCTAACTCTACGCAGGACACCGTAAAGGATGTGCTCCTGCAAGAGACTTATGCGATTGATGTTGTGTCCAACACAGTCATGGGTGCGATGACGGTATGTCAATCGGCACAGGTACTACCCAGCTCGTTGAGCCTGGTGTAGTTGGAAGTGTCCTGACAGGAAGTCAGATGGCACATATTCCTACCCAGGTCGAAAAGACTGGTGTAGTGAATGGGGCGATGACAAGTTGTCATGCGTCCAATAGTCCTGCATAGAGCCGAGAGCCTGTGGCAGTTGATAGTGGGCTGACAGGAAGTCAAGTGCCACAAGAACCGGCACAGAGCCATGAGCCTGGTGCGGTTGGAAGGAGTATGTTGGCTAATACAGCAACGACACCTTCTTCCAGGTCAAAGGTCGTGGTGACTCGAACAACGAGCACCAGACGCATTAAGAAGATCAAGGTCACGTCGAAACGAGTGACCCTTCGACCATTCTCGGTCCAAGAGGACGGACCTACGAACTAGTTGTTCGAGGTTGTCGAAGACAAGATGCCGGAGGTATCCTCTGTTGAGGTGCTTCAACTTGTCTTGGCATCTGCCGAGGCGATAGTAAAGCTCTCGGAGATGACGTGGGATCTGTTCCTGTCCAAACTAAAGGAAGGAAAGATCCACGAGATAGTCGCACCAGTTCCAGTAGTGAACGTGGTGGACTGTTGCTCTTCATCCAAAATGGATGAGAGCGTCTTGGAGACCGACAAAAAGAAACGGTTCGCTGCTCAAGGCTGGGATGCCTTGAAGGACAGCCCGTTCTATGATGTTCTGTGGAAACACCGTGATGTGTTTCCAGCAGAAGTGCCGAACCGCCTACCGGCCGATAGGGGCATCAGACATGAGATTAACCTGGAACCTGGCACCAAGTATTGTGTGACCAGGCAATGGCCGTTGCCGAAGGAACAAGTCGATTACATCGATGAGCTCTTCGACAAGCGAGCCAAGGCGGGACATGTACGTGAGAGCAAGTCGCCTCACTGCAGCTCGACCTTCTGTGTGCGTAAAGAAACAGGTGTATGGCGCGTGGTTCATGCTTATAATAAGCTGAACACGGCCACCATTCCGGCGCAAACGAAGATCCCGCGGAAAGATGTCTTGTCGACCTTCATGGGAAAGTCAACTATCTTTTCCGCGTTGGATCTGAAGGATGGCTACTATCAAGTTCTCATGAGAGATACCGATGTAGCCAAAACGGCAGTAAGCACCCCAAGCGGTATGCTGTGGGAGTGGCTTGTGATGCCACAAGGGTTGAAAAATGCTCCAGCAACATTCAACCGAGTGGTGGCTCACGTGATGCGTCAGCACATGCCTACGCGCCCCATTACTTTGACGATGTACTCGTGCATAGTAGGGCGGAGGACGTTCTGAGCGCGATAGAGTCGCACAAGCGTCATTTAGACGCTGTGTTGCAGACTCTGAGTGACGCCCAATTATACGTGAACTTATAAAAGTGCGTAATAAAGGTCCCCGAGATACCTGTACTGGGCTGCATCGTAGGTGCACATGGTGTATGAGCAGACCCAGAAAAGGTAAAGGCTGTAAAGGAATGGCCAGTCCCACGTAATGTGAAGGATCTGCGCCAATTCCTTGGGCTCGCTAACTACTTGCACAAGTACAGCAAGAATTATGCGGAGCAGACTAAGCCAATGTCTGATCTTTTGAAAAAGGATACAGAATGGACTAGGTCAAAGGAGCAAGAAGATGCGTTCACTTCAGTGAAGCAATCTCTTGTAGAGGCACCGGTCTTGGCATTGCCAGACGCGGATAAGCCCTTTAGCGGCGTCAACGATGCAAGCAACTTTGCAATCGGCAGCGCGCTCATGCAGAAGGATGACAACGGCGTTGACCGTGTCATTTATTATCAGTCTCGACTTTTAAAAGCCTCAATGCTGAATTAACCTGTGCATGACAAGGAGCTACTTTCAGT